GACTTCGTCCTTGGGTAAGAAGAAAAGTATTTGCAAAATTTCATCAAATTATCTTGAAAATTGCGACCTGTAGCGTGCGCACAAAGTTTACATGGACACACAGACAGACAGACAGACGGACAGACGGATGGACTTAATCGACTTTTAAACTGATTCTGAGCCGATTGGTATACTTTAAGCTGGGTGTAGTACTAATATTTTTGGGTGGTACAAACACAGCACAAGCGCATAATACCCTCTCCACTATAATGGTGTAGGGTATAAAAACACTTGCGTGTAAATGTTGTTTTTGTAAATTGTTTATTTTGTAAGTTCTTTAATTTTGAAAATTAAATATTGGTGTTTTTGTTATTATTAAATTAAAGTAAATGGAAGTGTGTGTGTTTGATTGAAAGTGTTGTAGTAGAAAAATTAATATTTTTTAATTAAAATTTTGGGGAAATAAAAAGGAACAATTTTTTATTGTGGTGAAATTAACATTCTTTCAGCAATCTTTCTTTGCCAAATAGAACGTTTTACGAAGTTATAGCAATTATGTTAAAAATAACATATTTGTTAACATTCTGTTCATCTGTTCCACTGTACTTTGTACATTTCATTAAAACTGTTTTCAGTTTGTTGTTGTGTTGCTTTTTGCCCAATAATTTATTATGACATTTTATTACATTTAATGAATGCTGTGTTATTTTTCCATATACTGCTACTGTCAGTTAAAACCCTTTTTAAAAGTTATAATGAAGTAAAAAATGTACAAAAATCAAAATAACCCTCAATGTGAAAGAATTTTTGTTTTTTTAAGATTATTAAGAAATTTAATTTCATTATTAGCTTCGATTTTTATAGCATGACAAAAAATCTGTGAAATATGTATATGTCTCTTAGTTCAATCAAAGTCATAAATTTCCAATTAAATAATAAAGAAAAGTTTTGTTAAATTTATGCTCAAGTTTTTGTTTTGTCATTCTTTCTAAGGCTTAAACAAAAAAACAAACATCAATTCAGCTGCTTAGAAAAGCACATCAATATGTTTGTTAATAAATTTACAAAAGTTTTTCTTATATTTCCGGTATGTGTTTGGTGCGAATGTTCGAAGAAATTCTAAATGATGTGTTTTTTTGCCTTAAGTCACAATAAAAATCTACATTGTCATTATTATTAGCATAAAAATTATTGCCTTAAAGGAACACTTAACTTGACTTGCTTTATAAAACTAAAGAAAGGAATGAATTCATTTTATTTAATATTTATTTAAGAAATAAAGAAAAATTAGCATTTAAATCAAATTTATTAAATATTTTATATACATTTCTTTTATTTTATGTTTATTGTTTGCTGGAAATATTAATTTTTTTATATTTATTTTTTACTTACTATTTGCTGAATAAATTCTTTATTGTAACTGCCTAAAACATCATTTATAAATCATGCAACCGTAATGTTATGATAACAAAATTGAAAATCAACATAATTTCTGACGCGTCACAAGAAATATTGAATTATATGAATAAGCAATTTCATGAGCTACATTCGGTATTCTGTATGTAACAGACATTTTGAATTTTCGATAACATGTTAAGAAAAAAAGTGGTTTTTAATACAAAATTGTAATAAATGGTCTAACCAAAAAAACATGAGTTCTGTAAGCGAGAGAGTCAGCAATAGTACTTACTAAGTCCTTTATAGAAGATATTATAATTAGAAGAAATTTTATTCAAATGTAAATTGTTCATGATGCAAACCTTATGATCATTTTAATATACTGCTTCATTCCTTTGCTAGAGGTTATTAAAAAAAGATAAAGAAAATTTTCGAAAAACAATAGATGACGAATAAGTTTTGGCACAACAATTATGAAGTCATTGACTTGATCCCTACACGTGTTTGTATTAAATACATAAGGCAAAATTCATACTTATTTACACATACAGACTATATATACACTTTCATAGACTTTACATACTTGAGTTTTGTGTGCATATGAGTTTCATATACACAAGTATATTCATACACAATGACATAAATACATTATTCACAATAAAGCTTATAATATACATAGATACTCCTGTATATAAGTTTAATAATAGACTGGTCCAAAAATTTTTAGTGATATTTGACCGTAATTCTTGCAAAAAGTGTTGGAAAACGTTTGTTTGTCAGTCAGTTAGTTAGTTAGTTAGTTAGTTAGTTAGTTAGTTAGTTAGTTAGTTAGTTTGTTAGTTAGTTAGCTAGCTAGCTAGTTAGTTAGTTAGTTAGTTAGTTAGTTAGTTAGTTAGTTAGTTAGTTAGTTAGTTAGTTAGTTAGTTAGTTAGTTAGTTAGTTAGTTAGTTAGTTAGTTAGTTAGTTAGTTAGTTAGTTAGTTAGTTAGTTAGTTAGTTAGTTAGTTAGTTAGTTAGTTAGTTAGTTAGTTTAGTTAGTTAGTTAGTTAGTTAGTTAGTTAGTTAGTTAGTTAGTTAGTTAGTTAGTTAGTTAGTTAGTTAGTTAGTTAGTTAGTTAGTTAGTTAGTTAGTTAGTTAGTTAGTTAGTTAGTTAGTTAGTTAGTTAGTTAGTTAGTTAGTTAGTTAGTTAGTTAGTTAGTTAGTTAGTTAGTTAGTTAGTTAGTTAGTTAGTTAGTTAGTTAGTTAGTTAGTTAGTTAGTTAGTTAGTTAGTTAGTTAGTTAGTTAGTTAGTTAGTTAGTTAGTAGTTAGTTAGTTAGTTAGTTAGTTAGTTAGTTAGTTAGTTAGTTAGTTAGTTAGTTAGTTAGTTAGTTAGTTAGTTAGTTAGTTAGTTAGTTAGTTAGTTAGTTAGTTAGTTAGTTAGTTAGTTAGTTAGTTAGTTAGTTAGTTAGTTAGTTAGTTAGTTAGTTAGTTAGTTAGTTAGTTAGTTAGTTAGTTAGTTAGTTAGTTAGTTAGTTAGTTAGTTAGTTAGTTAGTTAGTTAGTTAGTTAGTTAGTTAGTTAGTTAGTTAGTTAGTTAGTTAGTTAGTTAGTTAGTTAGTTAGTTAGTTAGTTAGTTAGTTAGTTAGTTAGTTAGTTAGTTAGTTAGTTAGTTAGTTAGTTAGTTAGTTATGTAACTAATTTTCTAAATGAAGGTGTCTTCCCGCTTTTATAATGTCTCAAATATGTCTAATAATTTTTTTCCAGTTCTTAGGACACGATATCTTTCTTGTAATCAGACTCCTTATCTATCTTCCAGATATTGTCTTCCAGTTAGGGGACTTTTTACACTAATATATGCTTTTTCTTCCGTATCCTCAAGACCTTTCCTTGAAGCAACATTCGGTAGGAGTGCATGTCTTATCCGTAATCTAAACCACTATATTTCTGTCAAATTTTTCGGTTAATGTTTGAATTGAACTGATTACAACCAAGGACAGTAGTTCGTTCTTTAAGAGATCATATTACTAGTCTTCGGTGGAAGTTTAATTCATAAGGTTTGGATTTCTTACAATTTTAAACAAATCATGCGTGGAAGATTAATTTTGGCATGCTGGTTAATTCAGGTCTTTTTCGCTAAACAAGTCTGCTGCAACCTAATATACTTATCCCCTTGAGTCTGTTTGTATTGACTGACTGTGGATTATGTTGATAATTGTCTAAGTGCGTAAATGTTTGTATGGAAAACCGCTTTTTCAATGTGTTACTCACGCACACTTTGAAGAATAGTACAAAATTTTGCATGTATGCGTACAAAAAGTAACTTGATACTTTATTTTTCGTACCATAATCTTGATGGCAATCAACGTCTATGATGGGCTATGGGCTTAGCAATTTTGTTAATTGTTAAAATAAATGTAATAAATATTTGTTATACAACTTTTTATATGTAAATTTATTTGTTAGCTCCTCGTACGCTTCGTATTAACACATGTATGTTTATTATAATTATAAAAGTTTTTAATATCATTTGTTTTATTCTACAACATGACCCCATTTCGAGATTTAAGTAATTAGGTTGATGAGTTCATTTCAGGCTCTTCAATTTAAGTTAAATCTCTCTCCAGGGGGATTAAATAATGAAGGAGTATTAATAGAATTTTTCCGGAAAAAGCATTTTAAATTTGTATCAACGTTAACAGATGTGACATTGGGATGTATTGTGTGACCAGAGTGTTGTTTTTGCTTTTTAGAATTTATTTAATAAATAAATTATATATTGGGTTTTCGATATAACTTTTCCTTATAAATTGTGGAATCTAAACAAATCGGCCAAAATTAAAGGCTTTCGCAAACCTGGATCTTTGCATTCTTGTTAACTTTTCATTGATCGTTAATCATATGACAATTCTATTCGAGAAATTTAATGAACAATAATTTGGTTTGTAATTTTATTACTTTTAGAAGTTATATATAATATTTGCTTCAAGGATTCCATATTTGGAAAAAACGAAAATAAGGGTTCTTTTAATTACGAAATACATGTGTTCCAAATCCAACAATCAAAGTTTTTACTGGTTCTATAAAATCTCAACAAAAAACAATATCTTAAGATTTCTTTATGATTAAAGTTAAATTTTATGGCAAAACTTATTCAATACAACAACTTTTATCTATATCTCTAACTTGACAGTTGTCTTTTGTTCACATTAACTAAAAACAAATGTAATATTAAACCTTATGTAATTGCTCATTTCTTGAAGAAACTAAATAATTAATTTCAGTAAAAGCTGTAAGTAATTTCTTACACTTGGTCTCCCTAATTCTGTGACAGCAACCATAATCAGTCATTATTATGAGAAATAAAAAACATGTTATCAAAATTTGTATTTTACATCCTTAAGAACTTGTTTAGAAGTACAAAAATAATAAATAACAAAAATATCCAAAAATTCAAGCTTTTGTCATTTTATTTACTTAAGGAACAAATCTTTCTTTAATACCAGCTTTCATTCATTCAGTAATTTATGATTTGTCTACTTGTGTTCTCCCCAAAAAAAAAGAGACATTTGTAACATTAAATATACACCATCCACAAAAAGACATACAAATATATATATAGATATCTCCAGGATTGAAAATACTAACCTCTCATATAAATATAAGCCGTACCACGCATATTACGTCTTGTCAATACAATAAGATTGAGTACATTGCCAATGATGCCAAGCGCACAAATGATGGGCAATATTATGCCGTATGAATATTCTCGTAATGCTTCGGTACGTGGATCCTGTAAAAAGGAAACAAGTGTAGGAAAGAAAAACAGGACATGAAACATTAATATGTATATTGATAGAAAATCTTTAGGAAATAAAAGTATAATATAAAAATAAGTTAATATTATACGAGTACATATTGTTGTAAGTAATAATAAAAAAAATACGAAAATGACATATTTTGTTGTTTTTACGAATATTACTTTTTACAATCGATTTAATATTAGTGACAGTTATTTTGATGGAAATAACTAAATAATTCCATTGTCTTAAATTTGTTTTTATTTCTAAAAATAATGGTAGAGTTTATGTTTGTTATGTTTGAGTTAAATTGCTATAAAAATGCTAAATATTTACAACAGTAATTAGTGAATGCTCATATAATGATTAGTTTTTTGTATAATTAGGCATTCGAATTGATTTAGTGTAAGTTTAATTTTATCTTTCAAATTAAATCGAAATATTTGGGCTAATTTTGATAATGATAATTTGAAAGCCTTTTGATGTTGAGTGCATATTAGACTGATCAATAATGGAGTAATGTAATGGCTCAACTCTCCGCTGATGACACCAAAGTTTTTTCTATATATCAAGTTCACCTAATTACAACACTAGCTTCCGAGCAATAACGGAATACGTAAATGGGATTAGAAGAAGTATGGGGCTCACAGGGCTTACCATATTTACCGACAGCCAGAAAGCAATTAGAGCGATATCAGATGAAAAGTTAAATCGAAAACGGCATTGGATTGTAGGAAAGCTCTAACTGATTACTCTCCCATAGGTAAGGTTTAAATCATGTGGGTACCAGATCACTCGGGAGTAGTCCACAACGAAAGAGCGAATGTAATAGTTTTAAAGGGAATGGAGCTCGAGGTAGTTAACCTGACGAACGAAAAAATATGGGTGAGACAAGCCTGTAAGTCCTATGTGTAGAACCTATATCAACTAGGACTACATTCTGACGAATGTAGAGCATGTAGAGAGAACAGTAAAATTCTGCAAAACTTTTTTGCTAAGTGTATTTCTTCGGATTTGATGTGGTAACATCCTCCTATCAACCTAGATAGGTAGGTTGATAGGAAGATGTATACTACATCAAATCCGAAGAAATACAACTAGGCCACTATCGGGCCTGTTGTGAGCTCCTTATCATGAAAAAAAGGGAACTGAATGTATTATTTTTCAGTGTTCAGAAACTCAGTTTCCTGAAAGTAATTCCTAAGAATCTTTCAATCAGTGTTAGTCAGGAATATTATTTCCGGAATAAAATCACTTCCAAGATATTTGGATCTAACTTCGACGAATGCAGTGGCAAAGAAAGTGCTCCTGAGTTTCACTGTCCTCTCCACATGCTCTACATTCGAATCCGCACGTCCAATTTTGCAGAGATATGCTCCTAATCCTGTGTGTCCACTCAGAATACGTACCATCATACTAACTTCAGACTTGTTCATTTTGAGGAGATTTTTCGCCTTGCTCTCATCAGGGTCACCCCATAGGATCTTCGTGATTCTACCCACTGTTTCATTATTCCAAGAGGCCTTATGGGATTCTCTCACCCATATTTTTAGTTCAGCTTTTGTTGCGTCGAATGGTTTTGCGTTTGTCAGGTTAACTGCCTCGAGCTCTCTTCCCTTTAAAGCTATTACATTCGCTCTTTCGTTACCGACTACTCCCGAGTAGGCTGGTACCCATATGATGTGAACCTTACCTCTGGGAGAGTATTCAGTTAAAGCTTTCTTACGGTCTTAGATTTAGTTCTATCGCCTGATATCGCCCTAATTGCCTTCTGGCTGTCGGTAAATATATTAAGCGCTGCGGGCGCCCTATTTATCCTATCAACCTAACATATCATATATATATTTATAAAGTGATCGACCGTAGTTAATGCTCAATTTATCTCTCAGTCTGGAGAATGGTCAGAGATTATTTGATCTCTCAGTGATTCTGTTTAAAAGTTCTCACATTTCACAAAATTTTTTGCTGGAATCAGTGAACATATCGTCTACTAAAGATCGATAACTTAAATCTATCAAATTGATGATTGAAATGAGGACTCGCATATGTTAAGTTAACACTGTACTAGAATTAAAATACATATAGTAAAATTCGCTTTTTTCTCTACCATTTGTTAAATCTTTCAAAAAATTTTCATGATCGCTCAACCACTTAGATAAGAATTTTGCATTTGTTAAATCTTTCAAAAAAATTTCATTATCGCTCAACCACTTAGATAAGAATTTTGCAGGACATGGTTTTTTACTCTCTGTGACTTTCAAAAACCATAAATAAAGAAGACTGGAGCAAAGTCTGTAATCGTGTCTATCGCCGATTGCAGCACCGATTTCTTGATCTTATCCTCATTCTTAAGAATGTCTATCGCCGATGGCAGCACTAATTTGTTAATCTTATTCTCATTATTAAGAAGTAAAATACCGAAGATGCTTATTAGGAAACTGGTCAAAAATTGAATAATGTAATAGCAGCAACTCTCTACTATTGAGAGCAAAGTGTTTTCTAGATATATCGAGTGATCGGCTTTCATACTTCAAGTTTCATTATTTATTCTGGCTTCCGGGAAAACGTAACAATAGATGTATTTTTAGTGCACTTGGAGTCATAGTTTGCTATTTGTTAAGATGAAAAGGAGACTACGCACCATCACGGACGATCAAATCGGGGATCATGTCGTTGTATTAACTTTGACAACTCATAAGATGATTTTCAGTAGTACTAATAGTTTATGTATTAGCGGAGTCCTTTCTTTAGAAATTGAATTTTAGATGTTTGCTGCTCCGATCGGAAATAATAATTACAAACTTAGGGATGAGAATTCTTCAAAGAAAATGTGAGAATGTTGCAAGTTTAAGTATGTACTTCCAAAGTATTACATATTTAAAAGTAGGATGTCCTTATTATTAATAAGTTTTTTTGTATAAAATATTTTTAAAATGCTTTAATATTAAACCTCATCACTTTAAAAAACTTTTAACAAATCACCATGAGTATAACATTACAAATAGAACAACAAAATATGTATAGATTCAATTTTCAAGGTAAAATATCTATGTACATTTCACTCTTCATAAATAAGTATAAAAATTGTTTCAATTTTATTACATTTCCGTCATTACACTTACCTCATTTGTTATATAAAGATCATCACGTAAATTATCACCAATGACACCTACAGCTCCAGCAGCTACAGCCGCATTAACATCACTTCTATAGCCACCACCTTCACCAATAACACCACCCGAACTGACACCACCACCTCCAGCACCACCTACACTATCATTTATGCCACCAACAGCCGCGGCGGCAGCAACAGCAGCAACATTGTGTGATGTTGAGGCAGCTGTTATAGCACTACTGCTGTCATTTTCATTTACACCAGGCGTTGCTGAGAAATTTGTACCCCATATAATCGAACACAAGGCCGGATCCTCTTCAGTTGTATAAAGTTGTGTTAGCATAGTTTCAGTACAAGTATTTTATATACACAAGTTGTTTTTCAAATAAGGATTATATTTTTGTTTGGTTTTCAATACGTGGAAATAACAACAGTTGCAGTTAAAAATAATTATATTTTCGTATGCAAAATAAATTTAAATATAAAAATATTTTTTTTTTTAATTATTAACTGCTACATAAACACTTGAATTTAATAATAAAGTGCTGTCTTAAACTTTAAGAGTTGTTATATATTTTTAAAATTGTTGAAAATATATTTATATTTTGTATTAATTAAACACTTTTAAAAAAGTTGCTTATGACTTTTTCTATTAAATTTTTTTATAAAAACTTTTTGTTTTGATTTCATAATCAATTTTATTTGTTTCTCAACACAATCACAGTCATCAACATCATCATTATCATCATCTTTGTAATCGTGGTCATACTTATCCTGACCATCATCGTAAACTTGATGATTTTTAATGATTTTTTTGTTTTTAATACTTTTAATACTTGTGGTTCTGTTGTGATTCCTTTTCACGTTGTTGTTTTTGTTCACGTTGTTGCTCTTGGCAGTGGCAATAGTAGTGTTGGAGTTGCTGGTAGTGTTGGTGGCGGTAATTGTTGCTACAGCTTCATCAAGTATAAATGCTTTTAATTCACGTTGATTTTGTTGGAATTTTTTATTATCGTTGTTTTTGTTGTTATTATTCTTCTTGTTGTTTTTAGTTGTTAAAGTTAAAATTGCATGGAATGCAGTTTTATTGCTGCCAGCAATGTAACATGGATGCTTAGTTAACATTTTATATATAAATCATTTACTACACTTTCATTCACAGTCTGGGGAGGAATAAAATGATGTTTGTTTTTTTTTTTTTAAGCAGTTTTAGTTTTTCTCTCTTTTATTCATTGTAAATTACATGGTTTTAGTGTTGTTGCTCCTTTCGTAATAACTGCAATGAAAGAAAAGGTAGAAATGATTTAGGTGTTAAGGAATTTGTTGAAAAAGTAGTTTTAAATGGATTTAGTACTTAGCGTGAATTTAAATGCTTATAATAATATTCTTTAGGGGTTTAATAGGATTCCGTTGGTGTAGTGGAAAAGTAGAGATGTTATTAAGTATAGAATGATTCTTAGTTTCATATACAATTTTCGATAAAATTTTTACTTATAGAAAGCCTTAGATTTTTTTTGTTTTTAAAGAAAATGATTGATAAATTTTTTTCAATTTAAAAAAATTTTCTGTAAATCTTCCATTTATAGACAATATTTGATAAATTTTCCTTGTTATTGAAAAAAAAAAAAAAATAATAGAAAATTATCAAAAAATGTTTATAGAAAACTTTCAAAAAATGTTTATAGAAAATTTTCTATAGAAAATATTAACAAATTTTTATAGAAAATTTTCGTCAAAGTTTCTTTTTGTGGAAAATTTGCGAGAAATTTTCATTTTATGGAAAATTTTTGAGAAATTTTCTTTTTATGGAAAATTTTTGAGAAATTTTCTTTTTATAGAAAATTTTTGAGAAATTTTCTTTTTATAGAAAATTTTCGATAAATTTTCTTTTTATAGAAAATTTTCGATAAATTTTCTTTTTATAGAAAATTTTCGATAAATTTTCTTTTTATAGAAAATTTTCGATAAATTTTCTTTTTATAGAAAATTTTCGATAAATTTTCTTTTTATAGAAAATTTTCGATAAATTTTCTTTTTATAGAAAATTTTCGATAAATTTTCTTTTTATAGAAAATTTTCGATAAATTTTCTTTTTATAGAAAATTTTCGATAAATTTTCTTTTTATAGAAAATTTTCGATAAATTTTCTTTTTATAGAAAATTTTCGAAAAATTTTGTTTTTATAGAAAATTTTCGATAAATTTTCTTTTTATAGAAAATTTTCGATAAATTTTCTTTTTATAGAAAATTTTCGATAAATTTTCTTTTTATAGAAAATTTTCGATAAATTTTCTTTTTATAGAAAATTTTCGATAAATTTTCTTTTTATAGAAAATTTTCGATAAATTTTCTTTTTATAGAAAATTTTCGATAAATTTTCTTTTTATAGAAAATTTTCGATAAATTTTCTTTTTATAGAAAATTTTCGATAAATTTTCTTTTTATAGAAAATTTTCGATAAATTTTCTTTTTATAGAAAATTTTCGATAAATTTTCTTTTTATAGAAAATTTTCGATAAATTTTCTTTTTATAGAAAATTTTCGATAAATTTTCTTTTTATAGAAAATTTTCGATAAATTTTCTTTTTATAGAAAATTTTCGATAAATTTTCTTTTTATAGAAAATTTTCGATAAATTTTCTTTTTATAGAAAATTTTCGATAAATTTTCTTTTTATAGAAAATTTTCGATAAATTTTCTTTTTATAGAAAATTTTCGATAAATTTTCTTTTTATAGAAAATTTTCGATAAATTTTCTTTTTATAGAAAATTTTCGATAAATTTTCTTTTTATAGAAAATTTTCGATAAGATTTTCTTTTTATAGAAAATTTTCGATAGATTTTCTTTTTATAGAAAATTTTCAATAAATTTTCTTTTTATATTTTCGAAATTTTTTTTTTATAGAAAATATTTTTTATGATAAATTTTCTTTTCATAGAAAATTTTCATGAAATTCTCTTTTCATAGAAAATTTTCGTTAAATTTTCTTATCATAGGAATTGTTTTTTATAGAAAAAATTTTTTTTTCATAGAAAGTTTTCTTAAAATTTTCTTTTCATAGAAAGTTTTCGTTAAGTTTTCTTTTCCCAGAAAATTTTTGTTAATATTTTCTTTTCATGGAAATTTTTTGTTAAATTTATAGAAAATTATCTTTTCCTAGATAATTTTCATTCAATTTTCTTTTTATAGAACATTTTTGTTAAATTTTCATTTCATAGAACTTTCTTAGTTAATTTCCTTTTTATAGAAAAATTTCGATAAGTTTTCTTTTTTTCATAGAATATTTTCGTTAAATTTTCTTTTTATAGAAAATTTTCGTTAAATTTTCTTTGCATAGAACATTCTTAATTAATTTCCTTTTTATAGAAAAATATCGATTATATAAAATTATCTTTTATATAAAATTTTCAATAAATATTCCTTTTATAGAAAATTTTTAGAAAATATTCTTTTTAGGGATTTTTTTTTTTAATAAATTTTCCTTTTATAAAAAATTTAAAAAAAATAGGCTATTTTAATAAAATTTGCATTAAATTTTATAATTTTCTATTAAGAAATCTTGATTTTCCATATTTTACAAAAATGGTTGTAGATTCTTGTGTCCCTTTATATAATTGTAACAAGTTAAGCTTTGAAACTGCCTTAAAACAAGAAATTTTTATATCAATAGACGCGTTATGTTGTTTTATAATATGAAAATAGCAAATTTGCATAAGGTTTGTTTTGCTAAACAAAAACACATATACTATTTATGCAAAAACCCAGTTTTTATTATGACATTTTTGTTTAATAAAGTACAAATGTTTATATTAAGTAAAAATGAAAACTGTAACGTTATATTAAGAGCCAACCAAATTTAAAAACTAGACCTTAATCAAAGTGTGCTTTTTTCTAAAGATTCATAACTGTTAAGACAATATTTTAAGGAAACATTCACTGTGTTAATATAACCACAATGACAATTTTGTATATATTTTTCCTTCATAAAATTGTTTATTATTCTTAAATTTTGAAAAAAGATATTTCTTTATTTTTCATACAAAGCATGTGTTTTCAGCTGTTTGTGAAAAAAAAAATGAAAAAAAAAATATATATGTCAGGAAAACTTAACTCTCACATTAATTTATTGTCGAAGGCAATATAAACGACTTTTGTATTTTCACGCATGTTATGCATTATCCTGCTAACACACATACAAGTACTTGTTTATAAAAGATTAAACGAAAAAAAAACTCCCTCTCCCCCTATAAGTATACTACAACGCATTTTTTGTATACATTAAAGTGTCATAAAGAAATAAAAGAAACCATAGATCATGACAACATAAATAACATAATAAAAGGAATAATACTTTTTTTACGGACTAATACATGCATTGCAGATTGTAATGTAGTTATAATACATAATGGGCAGTCGGAAAAACTTTTCGATAAATTCTCTTTTCATAGGAAATTTTCGATAATTTTTCTCTTCATAGAAAATTTTCGATAATTTTTCTTTTTGAAAATTTTCAATAATTTTTTTTTTTTTTGAAAATTTTGGATAAATTTTCTTTTTATAGAAAATTTTGGATAAATTTTCCTTTTACAGAAAAATATCGATAAATTTTGCTTTTATAGAAAATTTTCGATAAATCTTCCTTTTATAGAAAATTTTCCATAAATTTTCCTTTTATAGAAAATTTTTGATAAATTTTCCTTTTATAGAAAATTTTCGATAAATTTTCCTTTTACAGAAAATTTTCGATAAATTTTCCTTTTATAGAAAATTTGCGATAAATTTTCTTTTTATAGAAAATTTCCGATAAATTTTCCTTTTACAGAAAATTTTCGATAATTTTTCTTTTCATAGAAAATTTTCGATAATTTTTCTTTTCATAGAAAATTTTCGATAATTTTTCTTTTCATAGAAAATTTTCGATAATTTTTCTTTTCATAGAAAATTTTCGATAATTTTTCTTTTCATAGAAAATTTTCGATAATTTTTCTTTTCATAGAAAATTTTCGATAATTTTTCTTTTCATAGAAAATGTTCGATAATTTTTCTTTTCATAGAAAATTTTCGATAAATTTTCCTTTTATAGAAAATTTTCGATAAATTTTCCTTTTATAGAAAATTTTCGATAAATTTTCCTTTTATAGAAAATTTTCGATAAATTTTCCTTTTATAGAAAATTTTCGATAAATTTTCCTTTTATAGAAAATTTTCGATAAATTTTCCTTTTATAGAAAATTTTCGATAAATTTTCCTTTTATAGAAAATTTTCGATAAATTTTCCTTTTATAGAAAATTTTCGATAAATTTTCCTTTTATAGAAAATTTTCGATAAATTTTCCTTTTATAGAAAATTTTCGATAAATTTTCCTTTTATAGAAAATTTTCGATAAATTTTCCTTTTATAGAAAATTTGCGATAAATTTTCCTTTTATAGAAAATTTGCGATAAATTTTCCTTTTATAGAAAATTTGCGATAAATTTTCCTTTTATAGAAAATTTGCGATAAATTTTCCTTTTATAAAAAATTTTCGATAAATTTTCCTTTTATAGAAAATTTTCCTTTTACAGGAAATTTTCGATAAATTTTCCTTTTACAGGAAATGTTCGATAAATTTTCCTTTTACAGGAAATTTTCGATAAATTTTCCTTTTACAGGAAATTTTCGATAAATTTTTTTTTACAGAAAATTTTCGATAAATTTTCCTTTTATTGAAAATTTTCGATTAATTCTCCTTTTATTGAAAATTTTCGATTAATTCTTTTATAGAAAATTTTCGATAAATCCTCTTTTTTTAGAAAAATTCTGTTTTTTTAATTTTTCTATAAAATTTCTCTTTATAAAAAACTGTTAAAAATTCTCATTTATTAACATTTTGAAAAATACTCTTTTTATAGAAAACATTGATTGAAATATCCTTTTTAAGAAATAAATGATAAATGTTTTTGTATAGAATTATTAAATAATATTTTCTATGAAATTTCCTATTTAGAAGAAAAAGCTTAACAAATTGGATGGAAGCAACTTTTCGGCCTACTCTTTTAAAAACACATAACAAACTCATTCATACTCCCACTTTTACACAATGGAAAAACATACATCATTTAATACATAGACATATGAATATAATACATAACAAACATAATGCTACCACCACCATGTACCCATGTACATTAGGGATAAACCAAAATTCAGTTATATCACAATTTTGTAGCTGGATATTTCCTTGACGTTTTTTATTCCTTCAATATTTTCGTTACTACAAATTTAGATGTCTTCT